AAAAAATTCAAAAAAAAAAGAAAAATTTTTCCAAAAAAAAAAAAAAATGGGTAAGGGAAAAACTAGGAAACCCAAAAACCAAAAAAAAAAAAAAAAAAAAAAAAAAGAAAGCTGGAGTAGCAATTCTCATATCAGATAAAGCAGACTTTAAAATAAAGAATGTTACAAGAGAAAAGGAAGGACACTACATAATGATCAAGGGATCAATCCAAGAAGATATAACAATTTTAAATATATATGCACCCAACAGAGGAGCACCTCAATACATAAGGCAACTGCTAACAGCTATAAAAGAGGAAATCGACAGTAACACAATAATAGTGGGGGACTTTAACACCTCACTTACAGCAATGGACAGATCATCCAGATAGAAAATTAATAAAGAAACAGAAGCTTTAAATTATACAACAGTCCAGATAGATTTAATTGATATTTATAGGACACTCCATTCAAAAACAGCAGATTATACTAACCTCTCAAGTGCACACAGAACATTCTCCAGGATAGATCACATCTTGGGTCACAAATCAAGCCTCAGTAAATTTCATAAAATTGAAATCGTATCAAGCATCTTTTCTGACCACAATGCTATGAGATTAGAAATAAATTACACAGAAAAAGATGTAAAAACACCAACACATGGAGGCTAAACAATACGTTACTAAATAACCAAGAGATCACTGAAGAAATCAAAGAGGAAAGCAAAAAATACCTAGAAACAAATGACAATGAAAACACGACGATCCAAAACCTATGGGATGCAGCAAAAGCAGTTCTAAGAGGGAAGTTTATAGCAATACAAGCCTACCTCAAGAAACAAGAAAAATGTCAAATAAACAATCTAAGCTTACACCTAAAGGAACTAGAGAAAGAAGAACAAACACAACCCAAAGTTAGCAGAAGGAAAGAAATCATAAATACCAGAGCAGAAATAAATGAAATAGAAACAAAGAAAACAATAGCAAAGATCAATGAAACTAAAAGCTGGTTCTTTGAGAGGATAAAGAAAATTGATAAACCATTAGCCACACTCATCAAGAAAAAGAGGGAGAGGACTCAAATCAATAAAATTAGAAATGAAAAAGGAGAAGTTACAACATACACCGCAGAAACACAAAGCATCCTAGGAGACTACTACAAGCAACTCTATGCCAGTAAAATGGACAGCCTGGAAGAAATGGACAAATTCTTAGAAAGGTATAACCTTCCAAGACTGAACCAGAAGAAATAGAAAATATGAACAGACCAATCAAAAGTAATGAAATTGAAACTGTGATTAAAAATCTTCCAACAAACAAAAGTCCAGGACCAGACGGCTTCACAGGTGAATTATATCAAACATTTAGAGAAGAGCTAGCACCCATCCTTCTCAAACTCTTCTAAAAAATTGCAGAGGAGGGGCTTCCTTGGTGGCGCAGTGCTTGAGAGTCTGCCTGCCGATGCAGGGGACACGGGTTCGTGCCCTGGTCCATGGAGATCCCACATGCCGCAGAGCGGCTGGGCCCATGAGCCATGGCCGCTGAGCCTGTGCTCCGCAACGGGAGAGGCCACGACAGTGAGAGGCCCGCGTACCTCAAAAAAAAAAAAAATTGCAGAGGAAGGAACACTCCCAAACTCATTCTATGAGGCCACCATCACCCTGATACCAAAACCAGACAAAGATACTACAAAAAAAGAAAACTACAGACCAATATCACTGATGAATATAGATGCAAAAATCCTCAACAAAATACTAACAAACAGAATTCAACAGCACATTAAAAGGATCATACAACATGATCAAGTGGGATTTATCCCAGGGATGCAGTATTCTTCAATATATGCAAATCAATCAATGTGATACACCATATTAACAAACTGAAGAATAAAAACCATATGATCATCCCAATAGATGCAGGAAAAGCTTATGACAAAATTCAACACCCATTTATGATAAAAACTCTCCAGAAAGTGGGCATAGAGGGAACCTACCTCAACATAATAAAGGCCATATACGACAAACCCACAGCAAGCATCATTCTTAATGGTGAAACACTAAAAGCATTTCCTCTAAGATCAGGAACAAGACAAGGATGTCCACTCTCACCACTATTATTCAACATAGTTTTGGAAGTCTTAGCAACGGCAATCAGAGAAGAAAAAGAATAAAAGGAATACAAATTGGAAAAGAAGTAAAACTGTCACTGTTTGCAGATGACATGATACTACACATAGAGAATCCTAAAGATGCCACCAGAAAACTCCTAGAGCTAATCAATGAATCTGGTAAAGTTGCAGGATACAAAATTAATGTACAGAAATCTCTTGCATTCCTATACACTAACAACAAAAAATCTGAAAGAGAAATTAAGGAAACACTCCCATTTACCATTGCAACAAAAAGAATGAAATACCTAGGAACAAACCTACCTCGGGAGACAAAAGACCTGTATGCAGAAAACTATAAGACAATGATGAAAGAAATTAAAGATGACACAAACAGATGGAGAGATATACCATGTTCTTGGATTGGAAGAATCAATATTGTGAAAATGACTATACTACCCAAAGCAATCTACAGATTCAATGCAATCTCTATCAAGTTACAAGTGGCATTTTTTATGGAACTAGAACAAAAAAATCTTAAAATTTGTATGGAGACACAAAAGACCCCGAATAGTCAAATCAGTCTTGAGGGGAAAAAATGGAGGTGGAGGAATCAGACACCCTGACTTCAGACTATACTACAAAGTTATAGTAATCAAGACAATATAGTACTGGCACAAAAACCAAAATATAGATCAATGGAACAGGACAGAAAGCCCAGAGATAAACCCATGTACCTATGGTCAACTAACCTATGACAAAGGAGGCAAGGATATACAATGGAGAAAAGACAGCCTCTTCACTAAATGGTGCTGGGAAAACTGGACAGCTCCATGTAAAAGAATGAAATTAGAACACTCCCTAATACCATACACAAAAATAAACTCAAAATGGATTAAAGACCTAAATGTAAGACCGGACACTATAAAACTCTTAGAGGAAAACATAGGAAGAACACTCTTTGACATAAACCACAGCAAGATTTTTGATCCACCTCTTACAGTAATGGAAATAAAAACAAAAATAAACAAATGGGACCTAATGAAACTTAAAAGCTTTTGCAAAGCAAAGGAAACTACAAACAAGATGAAAAGACAACCATGAGAATGGGAGAAAATATTGGCAAACAAATCAATGGACAAAGGATTAATCTCCAAAATATATAAACAGCTCATGCAGCTCAATATTAAAAAAACAAAAACTCCAATCAAAAAATGGGCAGAAGGGCTTCCCTGGTGGCGCAGTGGTTGAGAGTCTGCCTGCCAATGCAGGGGACACGGGCTCATGCTCCGGTCTGGGAAGATCCCACATGCCACAGAGCGGCTGGGCCCATGAGCCATGGCTGCTGAGCCTGCGCATCCGGAGCCTGTGCTCCGCAACGGGAGAGGCCACAACAGTGAGAGGCCCACGTACAGCAAAAAAACAAAACAAAACAAAACAAAAAAAACTACAAACAACAAATGCTGGAGAGGGTGTGGAGAAAAGGGAACCCTCTTGCACTCTTGGTGAAAATGTAAATTGATACAGCCACTATGGAGAACAGTATGGAGGTTCCTTAAAAAACTAAAAATAGAATTACCATATGACCCTGCAATCCCACTACTGGGCATATACCCAGAGAAAAACATAATTCAAAAAGACACATGCACCCCAATGTTCATTGCAGCACTATTTACAATAGCCAGGTCATGGTAGCAACCTAAATGCCCAGCGACAGACGAATGGATAAAGAAGATGTGGTACATATATACAATGGAATATTACTCAGCCATAAACAAGGAACGAAATTGGGTTATTTGTAGAGACGTGGATGAATCTGGAGAGTGTCATACAGAGTGAAGTAAGTCAGAAAGAGAATAAACAAATATTGTATATTAACACATACATGTGGAACCTAGAAAAATGGTACAGATGAACAGGTTTGCGGGGCAGAAATTGAGACACAGTTGTAGAGAACAAATGTATGGACACCAAGGGGGGAAGCGGTGGGGGGCGGGGGGTGTGGTGGTGTGATGAATTGGGAGATTGGGATTGACATATATATACTAATATGTGTAAAATGGATAATAAGAACCTGCTGCATAAAATATAAAACTCAATAATTCAAAAAAATAAAAAGACCCAAATCTACCAAAAAATAAAATTAAATAAATAAATAAATATTTTTTAAAAAGTATGTGTGAGAGAAGAAACCAGTTAGGGAAGACTTTATGCTCAGAGGAAAATCTCATAATAGTCTTTGCAAAGAGGGGAACTATAATAATGACCTAATCCATATTCCTTTTTTTTTTTTTTTTCCAACCAAAGAGAAAACTCAAGTCGTAGCTAGATTAAATGGCTCAGCATTGGGGAAATAAATTGAGACCCAAAGGAAAAAGCCAGGGCTTCCCGGGTGGCGCAGTGTTTGAGAGTCCGCCTGCCGATGCAGGGGACGCCAGTTCGTGCCCTGGTCCGGGAGGATCCCACGTGCCGTGGAGGGCCTGGGCCTGTGAGCCACGGCTGCTGAGCCTGCGCGTCCGGAGCCTGTGCTCCATGGCGGGAGAGGCCACAGCAGTGAGAGGCCTGCATACCGCAAAAAAACAAGAAAAGAAAAGGAAAAGCCAACTCAAACATATAGAAAGAGCGAGGTAAATTATTGAGAAAAAAAATCCAGAATGCATGTAGGTAGCCCACAACTGTAAGGGATTTTCTGTTCTACTCATATTCAATTAAAGCTACAGTTGTTATATTGATACATCAGCCTACTTTTAATAAACAGTCAGCGAGTTATTCAAATTGTGGCAATAAACTAGCTTACTCTGACCTCCTGCTTTTCATAATTCTTTATCAGGCTTACTCTGGTGTTCTGTTCTTTATAATTCTCTATCAGAACCTCCTATAGTTGCCTCTGACAGTGCATTTACTTGACAGTACATACAGATGGTCACATTCTTCAACAGCTCAGTTTTGCACATCACAGAAAATCACAGGACAACTCCGCATCACATCAGAGACTGAAACCTGGGAATCTTGACCCTGAGTCCTATAATGTTAAGAACTTGCTTAAAATATTGCTTTTCCCCTTGAGGCTTCTGCTGCTGACCCCCCAAAATCTGAGTCATTTAATTGTAAGTATAGTACCTTCCTGTCAAAGAGCTTTGAAATATATGGCTTAAAGTAGTGCTCCTTTATTCCTTTGGCTTCTACCAGAAGTCCGTCATGTAGTTCACACAGTACAGGAATGATGCAGGGAGGCTCTTCAGAAGCCCTAAAGTCAGCAGTATGGAAATCAGATGGTAAACCTAGTTTGACAGCGTATAAAGAGCAATGGAGGGAAAAGAGAATATGGTCAATTTTTGAAACTCTTTTTCTAAAAACTGATAATCAGTTTTCAAAAATACATAAGGTCTTACCTTTAAATGACGGATTTAGCAAGTCTCGTCTATTTGGGCACATAATGGCATTGGCAAAAATCAGATCCAAGCAGCACAGAAGTAAATGATAAGAGTTTACTAAATCATCTCCAATCATACGAAAATTACCTTTAGAAGAAAAGAGACATAAAATCCAGAAACCTTTCAGGTCAAATAGCACCAAGTTCCCACAGTAGAAATGTAAAACACCTGAAAGTGTCACCTTACCCTTAGTATAAACAAAGAGTGTCCAACAGAAATTAAAGAGCTCCTTAACACTGCAAGGAATCCTCCTAAAAAGGGGGAAAAATGTACTTTTTATCTGACTTACTAAGTATCATTCCACATTTGTCACTTAAACTGAAACAGCAAATATAACAAATAGTAAAGTCAAATTACATATAAAATCTCATTCACAAAGGACAGACAACTATGTTTTATTAAATGGAATTAAAAAGTAGACTTTTAAAAATGCAAGTCCCCTTAATAAGTTTGTAAGATAATTTTTATGTCAATTATATGAGGATTAAGTGTCTCACCTCTGCTTCCTGCTTCGTGGTAACTTTGGTGGCTCTTCATATGGATTTTGAAATATATCTAAAAAAATTGGCTCAAATTTTTTGAAAATTACAGTAGACACCTCAAAATTTCTTTCTAGCCTTTCTATACGTTCACGAAATTCTTGTGACAAGTTTGACATGTCCATCCACTTCTTCATTTTACTAAAAAACTGTATTAAACTAAAAAAACAGAAAAAAAGCAACTTTAAAATGAGTCCATATAATGGAAGGAAAAGAAGACACTCTACTTATGCCTAAAAATCTTTATTAAAATGCCTGCATTTTATTAAAAAAAAAAAAAGAGAGAGAGAAAACAAAAACCTCACTTCAAGTGCTATGAAATTACTTTGGTTCCCAGAATCACTGTGGGAATGTAGATTTTGAATTAGTAGTCAATACATAAAATACCTTCTACTATGCAGGGAGTACCTATCTACTTCTTTTATTCCCTGCAGCACCTAGACAATACTCTGCATATAAATTACAAAGTAAATGTTAGGCAACAGACTGAGGAGTTCAAAAAACTAGTTTGGGGAAAGAGAGAATCTCCCAATACTGGATTCTGGAATTTGATCACAAAGCACCAGACTGCTACAGGGCAGGAATAAAATTCAAATGTTTGTGTTCCAACGTGTGGTTCTACCACCAAATATAAACTAAGAAGGTAGTACATACCCAGAAAATCACTTACTGGATAATGGCTCTACCTTTCTGGCTTATTTAATTATGAGTGCATTTTTTTTATGTCCTCATGTTAGTATGGTCTTAGACTGAAATTTTGTAATGTTAAAGCTCATTTAAGTGTCTAGCGCTATATACAGAATTTTTTTTCTTAAAAAAGGTGGTGGAAGAAATCATTAGCTAGTTGTCCATAGGTGTTCAAACTCCAGACATGCTGACTGAAATCTAAAAATCTGAGTTTTTTTAAAAGATCTTTATCAGGGCTTCCCTGGTGGCACAGTGGATAAGAATCTGCCTGCCAATTCAGGGGACATGGGTTCGATCCCTGGTCCGGGAAGATCCCACATGCTGCAGGGCAACTAAGCCCGTGCACCACAACTACTGAGCCTGCGCTGTGGAGCCCGCAAGCCACAACTACTGAAGCCTGCGTGCCTACAGCCCGTGCACAGCATCAAGAGAAGCCACCGCAATGAGAAGCCCGCTCACCGCAACGAAGAGTAGCTCCTGCTCGCTGCAACTAGAGAAAGCCTGCGCACAGCAATGAAGACCCAACACAGCCAAAAAAAAAAAATGTATATCATGATACCCTGTGTGTGAGAATTCTCCTTTTTGGTTTTCTTTTTTTAATGGGTAATATGCATAATTACAAAATTTAAAAGGTACTAAAGGATATATGATGTCCGCTACCACTGCCCTCCCAGTTTTTTTCCACTAAAGCAATCAACTTTGCCTTAGTGACTAATTACATTGTTACTAGTTATTTATCCTTGCAGAGCTTTTTAAGGCATTTATAAACATATACCAACTTAAACTTTTTTCCCACTCATATGATACCATACTACCTACAATATTCTACACTTCATTTATTTCCTGTAATTTATTTTGGAGATTTTTTTTTTTTGCCATACGTGGGCCCTCTCACTGTTGTGGCCTCCCCCATTGCGGAGCACAGGCTCCGGACGCGCAGGCTCAGCGGCCATGACTCACGGGCCCAGCCTCTCTGCGGCACGTGGAATCTTCCCGGATCGGGGCACGAATCTGTGTCCCCTGCATCGGCAGGCGGACTCTCAACCACTGCGCCACCAAGGAAGCCCTGGAGATCTTTTTATATCAGTTCATGTAATACTCCTTCCATAATTTTAAGAGCTGCATTTTATTCCACTATATGAATGTACCATAAATGTATTTAAACATTCCCTTTCATCCCTTAATCTTTTTATTTTGAAATAGCATCAAACTTACAAAAAAGTTGCGAGAATAGTATACAAGAACTCCTTTATTCACCAATAATTAACATTTTGTGTATTTGCTTTGTCATCCATCTCTCTGTGTGTATATATGTGTATACAAGTGTTCCTTGATTTATCATGGGGTTACATCCCGACAAACCCACTGTAAGCTGAAAATATTATAAGCTGAAAATGCATTTAATATACCTAACCTACCGAACATCATAGCTTAGCCTAGCCCACCTTAAACGTGCTGAGAACACTTCCATTAGCCTACAGTTGGGTAAACTCATCTAACACAAAGCATATTTGATAAAAAAAAGTGTTGACTATCTCATGTAGTTTAATGAATACTCTATTTAAAGTAAAAAACAGAATGGTTGTATGGGTACAGAATGGTTGTAAGTGTATTGGTTGTTTACCATCCTGACTGCACGGCTGACTGGGAGCTATGGCTCACTGCTGCTGCCCAGCATCATGAGACAGTATCACACCATCAAGTCACAAATCTTAAGTTGAATCATCATCTGTATATGTATCCACATGTGATGGTTAATTTTAGGTGTCAATTGGACTGAGCCACGGTGCCCAGATAGTTTGGTCAAACATTATTCTGGATGTTTCTGTGAAGATGTTTTTTGGATGAGATTAAAATTTTTTAGAAAAGTTATATACGGGCTCATGGATTTCCACTGCCAATCTGGACCAAAGCCAATCTGCCTACAGTCACTGCTGAGTGCCCAATCAGCCAGCAGCAGAGCAAGGTTCTTTAGGAGGCTGTATATGCTCTGAATCAGCAAACAATATAGTGCTGTTTCTTCCATAGCCAGGATTCACAGGTCCAGGAATCAAGAGGTGGGGGGAGAGTGGCACCACTCACTATTACCCCTATTAACCCACCAGCAAACTTTTTGCTTCCTGTCTCTGTCACATTATACTCTGTTGGCCTAGAGGTCTTAGTTCCAAAGAGAGTAATGCTTCCACCAAGAGATACAACAATATCCACTGAACTGGAAGTTAAGACTGCCATCCAACCACTTTGGGCTCCTCATGCCTCTAAAGCAACAGGCAAAGAAGGGAGTTACTATGCTGGCTGGAGTTGGATTGCTCCAGTAGCAACTGGATTGCTACTCCAGAATGGAGGTAAAGAAGAATAGAATACAGGAATCCCTTAGGGTAGCTCTTACTATTACCATGCCCTGTAATTAAAGTCAATGGAAAACTACAACAACCCAACAGGCAGGACTACTAATAGCCCAGACTCTTCAGGAATGAAGGTTTCGGGTCACCTCACCAGGTAAAAAAACCACAACCAGCTGAGGTGCTTGCTGAAGGCAAAGGAAATATGGACTGGGCAGTGGAAGAAGGTTATTAATACCAACTACAACCACGTGACCAGCTATGAAACGAGGACGCTAATTGTAATGAGTATTTCTTATTTTGCTACAAATATGTTTGTGTGTATTAAATCTTTGTATTCCTTCCTCTCTTACCCACTTGTTACGTAACATAGCATGTACTGACTTTACACCACAGTATTGTTAACTTTACTTCCGAGTGTTTAAGTTATAGGATATCAAGAAGAAGAGTAAACATCACCCAAGGATTTTGCATCCTCTTTTGGGGAAAGGGTTAGGGCATTTTGGGTTGTACAAAGTATACTTATCTCATGTTAGGCTAATGTATGATCTTGTTATGGCTTTTATTTGCAGATTAAGTATGGCGTAAGGAGATGTGTATGGGCGCCCAGATATTCAGTCAAACATTATTTCAATGTTTCCATTAAGGTATTTTTTGGAATGAAATAAACATTTGGATTGGTAGATTCGGAGTAAAGCAGATTACTCTCCATAATGTAGGTGGGCCTCATCTAATCAGTCTGAAGGTCTTAACAGAAAAAGACTGACCTCCTTCCAAGTAAGAAGGAATTCTGCCAGCAGACTGCCTTTGGATTCAAACTGCAACTCTTTCCTGGGTTGCCAGCCTGCTGGGCTACCCCATATTTTAGACTCTCCAAGTCTCCACAACCATGTGAGCCAATTCCTTAAAATCCCTCTCCCTCTCCTCTTCCCAACCTGTGCATGTGTGTTTACATGCTATTTTGCGTGCATGCTCGCTCGCTCTCTCTACATATATATGTGTATACACACACACACACACACACACACATTAACACATTCTATTGGTTTTGTTCCTCTGGTGAACCCTAATATAACATACATATAATTTTTTTCTGAAGCATTTGAGAGTAAGGTGTAAATATCGTGCCCCTTTACTCACAAATACTCTTCTATTTTCATAAAGAGAAAATGTATTTACTCAAAAATATAGTTTCTATTTCCTGAGAAAGAGGTTTTACATGATTAAGTGCAATTATCAAAATCAGAAAATTTTATATTGATAAAATACTATTAGTTCATATTTAAATTTAAAATTCACCAATTGTCTCAAGAATGTTCTTGATAGCAATCTTAAATTTCCCAATCTAGGATGTAATCTAGTAGCATGAACTGCATTTATGTGTTATTTCCTTTTAGTTTCCTTCGGTCTACATCAGTTCTTTAGACTGTCTCTTGTGACACCAACATTTTGGAAGAGGACAGGTCAGTTATTTTGTAGTATGTCCCTACCTGCTTCCCTCATTGTTAGATTTAGGCTATGTATTTTTGACAGAGTACTACATAAGTGATGTTATATCCTTCTCAGTGGGTCATAACCATTTGTCCCATCATTGATAATAACTCTGCACTTGATTTAGGTGGTATCTGTCAGGTTTTCCACTTCAAAGTTACTATTTTTCCCTTTGTAATTGATAAGTGACTTGTAGGGAGATACTCTACAATTATGCAAATATTTAGTTGGCATTCTAATATAAGGAAGAGATTTCCCTTCTCCCCTATTTATCATCAGTACAGATTTTATTCAGTGAGTTATAATCCATTACTGTCCCTATTCATTCTGATGCTCAAGTTATCCCAGGTATGATTACAAATGGGAGCCTTTTCAAACTAGCTCCTATGCCCCCTGGACGTGTCCCCAACATTTTTTGAGCACTTCCTTACTTTCTGGCATAAGCTGTTCCAGGTTCGTTAGAAAAATAGGTCTGCCCCAGCTTCTGAATCAGCCATTTCTTTGAAGACATTAGGCTAAGTATTCATTTGTTGTGTCCTTCCTTGGAAATATTATGCTGTTATTTGAAGACATTAGGCTAAGTGAAATAAGCCAGTCACAAAAAGACAAATACTGTATGATTCCACTTATATGAGGTACCTAGAACAGTCAAATTCAGAGAGACAGAAAGTAGAATGATGGTTGCCAAGTGCTAGGAGGAGGAAGAGGGAAGTTATTGTTTAACTGGTATGGAGTTTAAGTTTGGGAAGGTGAAAAGCTCTGGAGATGGATGGTGGTGAGGGTTTAACAACAGTGTGAATGTATTTAATGACAATGAACTGTACAATTAAAATTGGTTAAAATGGCAAATTTTATGTAATGCATATCTTATCACATACACATACAATTCCCCCCAACCCTGCCGCCAAAAGCAAAGTATAGAGTAGGGATGGTAATATGGAACATACATTCCAATAGTGGCACACTACCTAATTTTAATGGCACTCAAAAGATAAAAAAGAAAATTACTCTGTAAAAATTAGTATCATCAATGTTCCAATTAAAATTATGAAAAATCATTTTTCATTCAGGTTCTATTATACTATGAAAATAATGAATGAATGAAAGTTGTCTTGATTTAAGTTACTGAAAAACTTGTAAAAAATATGGAAAAATTAGTTCTCAATACTTAAAACAATAAGATGTAGACAACTAACTGCTTTATTAAAATGAATTTAAAATTCAAATTATAAAATAGATACAATTTTTTAATTGTAATTTTTTTTACATGAAACCTTCTTTTTAAATTGGAAGTTGCTTTGGTTAAATTTTTTTTGTTTTGTAGACTGAAGCTGGATATAGATACAGTTCAAAAGGAGACATACTAATGTATATTTGTATATAGATACATATGTAATACAGCATGACTTGGGAGGCTCGCCACTTTCTTAGATATATAACCTCTGGGAAGTAATTTAATCTCTTGGTGACTTGGTGACTTGGTTTCCTCATCTTTAAAATGAGATTTATTTAATACAATTACTGTGAGGATTAAATTAATAAAGATATGCAAACTATTAGCACATATTGTCTGTCACACAGGTAATATTCAATAAAAATTTGCTAGTTTTACATGTGTGTGTATAAATCTATACTTAAACAGTATTTTGCAGTATAATTTATTAACAATATTTGATGGATATTTTCCCATATCTATAAAGATCTACATAGTCATTTAAAATTACATTTAAAATTGAAATTTTGAAAATAGCCCAAATTATTATAAATCAATGTAAATAATAATCATCACTTGAAATTCTTTTTTATTTGTCTGAATGAACATATTGATGTTGGTCAACAGCTCTTTTAGCAATTAGGAATGTGACACTTAAAAAATTTTTTTAAAACCAATCCACAGTTTAAAAAGTATCTTTTGACTCATCACTACACTTTTAGGAATTTATCTGAAATACACACTTACAATAATGTTCACTTGTCTGTAATCACAAGGGACTGGATATAATCTAAATGCTCATCAATAAGGGGGCTGGCTAAGTATATAAAACATCCTTGTAACTTAAAATATCCCTCAGTCACTAAAAAAAAATTAATGAGGTAGAGCTATACATAGTGATATAGAAGGATTTCCAGAATATAAAGTAAGAAAAGCAACAGAAAAATACATTTAGCAATGATCTCATTTATGCTTACAAATAAAACGCAAAAAACTGAAAAACAGATTTTTTCCTGCTTAAAAATTTAATAACAGTAAATTGCTAATAGTGGTAAATTCTGGGGGATGGTAAAAGAAAGAGACATCCTTCTATTTTCAACCCTCTGTATTATTTGAAAAAATTTTAAACCTTTTTTCTTTTATTGTGGTAAAAGTATATACAATGTAAAATTTACGATTTTAACCATTTTTAAGTGTACAGGTCAGTGGCATTAACCATTACCACTTTCTACCTCCAGAACTCTTTTCATTATTTGAAATTTTTATCATGAGCTTGTACTGTTCAGTTTCTGCAACAACTTATTATTACAAAGATTAAAAAATTTAATATGGTCAGTGATGAGAACCATCAATAGAAAAAGATCATATGACAATGGACAAGGTTTTGCTCAATTTAAAAAAATTACCTTAACTCCTTTTATCTTAGTTATATTTTCATTTTGTTTTTATCATGAATGACAAAAATTATATTTACTAAAGTTTTAAAAATTGTCTTGACTTAATTCTTTTTCCATTTATAGAAACCAAAATTGTTCTGAGGATTTTTTTTTTTTTTTTAATTTAGCATGAACTGAAACTTAATCCTCGCTGGATAGGGCTTTACACTTTCTCCTCTGTCCTGGAAACCCAGGATAGCAAATAGACAATGACCTCAAATAGTCATTACGAACATTAGCAACTATCCAAATCTGAATCACTCCATTTCTGTTGTTTGGTATTCAGGCAAATAGTTCCATACAGTTGATACCAGAGCAAGTAAAAGCTATAGCTAAGACCCACCAATTGCTTAGTACTTGCAAGGGAAAAAATATTAACCATACAGTAGAGAAACAAGAGAACATCGTTAGCAGATGATCAAAATTAACATCACCAATGAGAGGCAGAAGGATATCATGTGCCTCTAGATGTGATATACTGAGGACACAAAATCACTTATGTAGTTTTCCATCTAGGAATGTAAAACCTGCACCTAATCGTAAGGAAACATGAAACAAATCCAAAATGAGGAACAATCTATTAAAAAGGGGGGCAGGGTGATTGTGAACTATACTCTTCAAAAATGTCAATGTCATAAAAGACAAAGGCTGTGCAAATGTTCTTGTTTAAAGGAGACTAAAAAGACATGGTAAGTGAATGCAATACCTGATCCTAGATTGGATTATTTTTTTTTTAAGATTGGATCTTGAAGGAAGAAAATGCTATCAAGAATGTTACTGGATCAACCAATAAAACTAGAATAGAGATGCTATATTATATAAAATTACTGTATCAATGTTAACTTTGTTGAAGTTGATAACTGTACTGTAGTTATTTAAGGAAATACTGAAGTATTTAGGGGTAAAGGGCTACAACGGACACCACTTAAATTGAAATAGCTGAGGAAAAAAATACTATTTAAGAGAAAAAGATCAAATGATAAAGCAAATGGAGTAAAATATCAATAAAAGGTGAGTGAGTCTAGGTCAAGGGTACATGGATGTTCTTTGTCGTTTTCTTATTCCTGCAACTTCTCTGAAAGCTTGAAATTATTCTCAAATTTAAAACATTAATGAAAAAGTTACAGAGAAAAAAGATTTAGAACCTCTAAATCTAAAATGATTTAGAGGCCTCTGGTTGAAGTTAGAATTTAAGGAAGAAAGGCAGAGAAAGAATGTGAGAATTGGGAAAAGATACCTATATGGATAACAAACTTCGAATGGGATTAAGCTAAATGATTTAAAATAAAGAGAAATTAAATCCTAAAATTAAATTTAGGACTTATAAAATAATGTTTGAAAAATCAAAGTGCTTTACCTTAATTTAGCTGAACGTAGTATTCTGGTAAGTGAAACACAATTTCCTTCCATGATACCCTTTCCAACTGTGGGAATAATGCTTTTGCGGCAAGCAACATATAATGAACATGCCAACCAGTGTATAACTTCTCCCTGGCAGGCAAAAGATAAAACAGCAAAATGGATATACTACGTTAAAATGCTTGAATTCTAGAATCAAAAGAGATCTTAGAATTACCTGGTCTAATTTTCATCCTGTATTAACAGGCCAGAGAAATGAAGATATTTGCCCAAGGTCACACAACTTAGTTGGTTGCAGTAATGGGTATAAAACTCCTTACTCTTAGTCCTGTGTAACATGCTAAATCCGTATTAATCTAAAGATAGATCTCTCACCTATACCCCAAATCTAATATTATTGAAGAGTTTTCAATTTCTCAGCATTAGCTTTCTCAATATTATAACACCAGTCATGGCCTTGATGATGCTGAAGTTCCTACCATTTTAGTTTTAGGTTTCTTTTTTAACCAGTTTGGCAGAGAAAGGAAAGAACAGAGTAGAAGATGGCAAGAGAATTACACATATAAAGATTAATACCCATCACAACACAAAGGAGACTGTCAGTTTTGTGAGGTAAAAATTTGGGGAATTATTTACCCTAATCTTTAAAATAGTAAGTATGGCTCTCTATCTTAGCAGACACTTCAATTTACAATGCTACAAAAAAGGTGTCATTTGGGAATTCAACACTTAATTCTCTGCTTTAGGCTTGAGATACCCAAGCTAGATTCACTTTATGACTTCACTGATGAACTTTACATAAAATTAAGAACTAGACTCAATTCTCATAGCACAACACAATACTGTTGTGCAGATCCTCTTTAAGATCAGACTCTAAAAGAATAAAATGATTGATAAAGATTTCTTGCAATAATCCAAAAGGGGTGGGTAGAGATGGGTAGCCACCAATAAAGCTAAGACCTAGTGTTCCTACCCTAAAGTACTATAGTGAAAAGTCTCATTTGCTCAAGGCATTAAAAGAGGCAGGTAAGCTTAAGGTTGAATACTTTTAGAAGCCTTGATTAACGAATTGTTTGGGTATAGCATCCAAGTACTCTACAGCTTTTGGATACAGGCTACTAGATGAAAACACTATTAAGACAGAAAATTTAAGAACCAAAATTACTGCTTTGATTTTTTTCCTTAAAAAAAAGCACCTATAGTATTTAATGTAGTTCCTTTACGCTAGGCCTTAGAAATACAAAAAGTTTCTAACATCAGGGTACTCCAAGTGTAGAGCTAAGAGGAACAAATATTATACTATTATCTATAATTGGTGAGATATATGTTTTTAAAAGAATTGAAGAGAAAGTGTTATGGGAGAATATAGTGTAGTTACTGATTTTGACTGGGGCTCAAGGAAGGGTTCACAGAGGGAGACAAAAGTGCTAAGTGGTGAAAAATCACCAGAATGTACGGGGGGGAAGTGGGGTGGGTAAGCAGGAGCTAGTCAGGTAGACTAGAGGGGATAGGGGCTGGGCAGAGGGGTTCTTAGGAAGCAGCAGATATATGAAAATGCCCTCCACCAAAAACAAAGCATAAAAGAAGAGGAAAATAAAACACTCTAGATAGAATAAACACTCACAAAATCTTAATTCACACAGCTGTGAATTCGGTCAAACATTTAAGATATCCTGATCAACTCGGCCTAACTGGAGATTCAGTTCTTCAACTTTTGCTGCAGGGAGTGAGGGAAAAGTTTCCAGGCAGAGGGATTGGCGTGGAGAAAGCACACAAGTAGGAACAAGCTTGACATATTCAAGAATCTGAAAGATGTGCCCAGTTTAATATCTTGACCTCCGTCTGCACTCAGCAGTGCTTTTCAGTGACAGACCAAATGAGGACTCAATATCAGAAATGCTTTCTCAGCCTTTTAAAAAGTTTGTTTCCAGTCTAGAGACCATAATTTATAATCTCCCTTAGCTTCTTATTCTTTCCTCAGCTTTCCAGTCGTGTCACCCAGAGATGCACATCACTGTCCTTCAACCAGTCTATCCAGTCCTACCCTGGAGACATGCAAGAGTCTCTCTTCTTCTCACACACACACACACACACACACACACACACACACACATCAACTCCAGATTTCCAACTCTATGCCTTAGAGCCCACCGATTAATTATTTCACCAGGTGATGAGTCAGCAGAGCACTCTGGGTGAGTCCAGCCCTCTTGGATCACGAAAACCTTTGACCATAAGGCTACTGGAGTAATTGCAAATACATTCCATCACAATTCTACCTCTATACTGGGCTTATGCTTGTCTGGGTTCCTATGACAATTAGCAGAACGACCCTGGGCAAGACAATCCTCTGGGCCTTGATAATATTGCCTGCAAAGCAGGTTTAATACTCGCTGCCCTGCCATGTTCACTCACAGGGCTGTTGTGAGGACTTAATGCAAGAACGGTAGGGGAAAATCTAATGATAGCCTACATTTATTTTGTTTAGAGACAGACACTGTGCTTAGCATCAGGATAATCTAATTATCCCCATCTGAGAGAGGAGGAAGCTGTGGCCGAGAGATAAGCATTGTGTGCACACTGGCTCTGATCAAACTGCTGTACAGTGGCAATACTGCCGAAAGAGCAACCCACACCTCGAGGCGGAAGGGTGGAGAGATTATGGCTCAGACTCCTTACTCCGGCTCCACCTCTAACGGTGCGACCTTGCGCTTAACCTCTTCGGGGCTCAGCTTTCCCATCTGTGTAACGGGGATCACAACAGGTTCGAAGAGGAGTGGCGGCGAGAACCAAGTAAGATGACATATTTAAAGCGCTGGGCAGTGGCGTCTGGGCACACAATTCATGTAAGCTTCTGCCATTAGAGTAACTGCTTAAGCAGATTTAAGGGCAGTCCCATGACGTCTGTGGCACTGGTCTGAAGACTAGAGGACCCCTGAGTGGCGTGTGACCTTGGACAAGCCACTCCTTTTCCGGACTTCGGTTTCCCGCCTCAAAATAAATGGAGAGATTGATCGACACTCGCCCTTCCAGCTTCGCACTCCTCGGCGCGGGGCTGGGCAGAGACCCTTCCCGGTGGGGATACTCCCACCGCCCCATAGGGTGGGGTAGGGGCGGGGCGGGGGTGGGGCCTGGCGAGCTCGGTCTCGCCGCCCCCCCTGCCGCCGCTCACCTCTAGGCTGTAGTTGCCCCGGATGGCGGTGAAGTCGTCCAGGGCTTCGGCCGCGCTCCCCTCATCCAGGTTCAGCTCCTGGCACAGGGCCTGCAGCGCCTCCCCGGCCGCGGCGACCACCGCCGCCCCCTCAGAGTGGGGATCGTCCTCGTCCATACCCTCAGGCCCAGCGGGCGGCGCAGTCACAGGCCCCCCAGCTCCTTTCTCCCTCCTGGGCGCGCTACCCACAACCACCCGCGCCAAAAGCGCGCGAAAATCGGGAGGCGCAGTACGACGTCTCTTCGATGGTCTGCATCCGCGTTTCTCCTCAAAAAGGTCCGTTTCTCCTCCAGGGCTCCCAGCCGTCCCTCTCCGGAAATGTGATAAGAAGACGGACTCCGGGGCCTAGAAAACCTGGACTTGGCCCTTGGCGGACAGCGGTGGACACAGCCGGCAGGGCAAATTGGGAGCGGAGGGATCGGCGGTCCGCGCGCAGGATCTGCTGGGAGTTGTAGTCCGTATCCGGCCTTGGAGCCGGCTGCGCCTCCCTTTCTTGTTGGCTCTTTGGTTTGGGCCCCGCTGGGCTGGCAGTTGCGAGGCGGCCCCGTTCATCTTACGGGGAAGCCTCTTCTCTTCTTCTGCCCGGCCAACCTCCGGGCCTGGGTTTGTCACTGCCCCGGGACGCCATAGTCTGATCGAGAATTGCCCCTTGAGTTAGGAGATGGAGGAGGGACCTGAAAAAAGTGGTCTGTCGACAGCGAGGGCGGGGGAGGGCCTCGTCGGCCTCTCCTCAGTGTCTCCAGCGCCTAGTGAGTGGTCTTTTGAATGACTGAAGGGTTGGTGAGGCAAGGTTTATTGGGGGACACCTGTCCATCCCTTCCTGATTGCTAAACGAGGCTTGACCTGGGCTGAAAGAAATGCAGTAAGGGGCCACTTTCTCAGCTTCCTGGGAACTGGGACCCTGGAACCCAGTAAAGACTGTTATTCCAGACTTAGGAATGGCCTGAGCATAAGCCTGAAGGCATGGAGCTGGTCTCGAGGCTTACCCTTCCGCTTCACCAAAAACACCTTCTCCGAGAAGAGCCAGAGTGATCATTTGAAAAGGTAAATCAGAGTACAAGACCCTTCAGTAGATTCCCTTAAAATAATATCCATACTTCTTGACCTGGCCTATAAGGCCCCATGTGATCTGGCCTCACCAGGGCATTGTCCCCCTCCTCAGGTATATAATAAGATCCAACCTCACTGCTTTGTTTTGGAACCTTGGAAATGCCAAGCTGCCAAACTAGTTCTTGCCTCAGAGCCTTTTTCCCGTGCTGCTCAAACGGCCCCACATACTCTATGCCAGATCTTTGCTTGTCTGGCTCCTCATCCTTCAAGTTCAGCTAAAAGTCATCTTGTCAGGCCACCCCTGAGCACTGTATTTAAAATAGCTGACCCTGGGGCTTCCCTGGTGGCGCAGTGGTTGAGAGTTCGCCTGCCGATGCAGGGGAAACAGGTTCGTGCCCCGGTCCGGGAAGATATCAGGATAATCTAATTATCCCCATCTGAGAGAGGAGGAAGCTGTGGCCGAGAGATAAGCATTGTGTGCACACTGGCTCTGATCAAACTGCTGTACAGTGGCAATACTGCCGAAAGAGCAACCCACACCTCGAGGCGGAAGGGTGGAGAGATTATGGCTCAGACTCCTTACTCCGGCTCCACCTCTAACGGTGCGACCTTGCGCTTAACCTCTTCGGGGCTCAGCTTTCCCATCTGTGTAACGGGGATCACAACAGGTTCGAAGAGGAGTGGCGGCGAGAACCAAGTAAGATGACATATTTAAAGCGCTGGGCAGTGGCGTCTGGGCACACAATTCATGTAAGCTTCTGCCATTAGAGTAACTGCTTAAGCAGATTTAAGGGCAGTCCCATGACGTCTGTGGCACTGGTCTGAAGACTAGAGGACCCCTGAGTGGCGTGTGACCTTGGACAAGCCACTCCTTTTCCGGACTTCGGTTTCCCGCCTCAAAATAAATGGAGAGATTGATCGACACTCGCCCTTCCAGCTTCGCACTCCTCGGCGCGGGGCTGGGCAGAGACCCTTCCCGGTGGGGATACTCCCACCGCCCCATAGGGTGGGGTAGGGGCGGGGCGGGGGTGGGGCCTGGCGAGCTCGGTCTCGCCGCCCCACCTGCCGCCGCTCACCTCTAGGCTGTAGTTGCCCCGGATGGCGGTGAAGTCGTCCAGGGCTTCGGCCGCGCTCCCCTCATCCAGGTTCAGCTCCTGGCACAGGGCCTGCAGCGCCTCCCCGGCCGCGGCGACCACCGCCGCCCCCTCAGAGTGGGGATCGTCCTCGTCCATACCCTCAGGCCCAGCGGGCGGCGCAGTCACAGGCCCCCCAGCTCCTTTCTCCCTCCTGGGCGCGCTACCCACAACCACCCGCGCCAAAAGCGCGCGAAAATCGGGAGGCGCAGTACGACGTCTCTTCGATGGTCTGCATCCGCGTTTCTCCTCAAAAAGGTCCGTTTCTCCTCCAGGGCTCCCAGCCGTCCCTCTCCGGAAATGTGATAAGAAGACGGACTCCGGGGCCTAGAAAACCTGGACTTGGCCCTTGGCGGACAGCGGTGGACACAGCCGGCAGGGCAAATTGGGAGCGGAGGGATCGGCGGTCCGCGCGCAGGATCTGCTGGGAGTTGTAGTCCGTATCCGGCCTTGGAGCCGGCTGCGCCTCCCTTTCTTGTTGGCTCTTTGGTTTGGGCCCCGCTGGGCTGGCAGTTGCGAGGCGGCCCCGTTCATCTTACGGGGAAGCCTCTTCTCTTCTTCTGCCCGGCCAACCTCCGGGCCTGGGTTTGTCACTGCCCCGGGACGCCATAGTCTGATCGAGAATTGCCCCTTGAGTTAGGAGATGGAGGAGGGACCTGAAAAAAGTGGTCTGTCGACAGCGAGGGCGGGGGAGGGCCTCGTCGGCCTCTCCTCAGTGTCTCCAGCGCCTAGTGAGTGGTCTTTTGAATGACTGAAGGGTTGGTGAGGCAAGGTTTATTGGGGGACACCTGTCCATCCCTTCCTGATTGCTAAACGAGGCTTGACCTGGGCTGAAAGAAATGCAGTAAGGGGCCACTTTCTCAGCTTCCTGGGAACTGGGACCCTGGAACCCAGTAAAGACTGTTATTCCAGACTTAGGAATGGCCTGAGCATAAGCCTGAAGGCATGGAGCTGGTCTCGAGGCTTACCCTTCCGCTTCACCAAAAACACCTTCTCCGAGAAGAGCCAGAGTGATCATTTGAAAAGGTAAATCAGAGTACAAGACCCTTCAGTAGATTCCCTTAAAATAATATCCATACTTCTTGACCTGGCCTATAAGGCCCCATGTGATCTGGCCTCACCAGGGCATTGTCCCCCTCCTCAGGTATATAATAAGATCCAACCTCACTGCTTTGTTTTGGAACCTTGGAAATGCCAAGCTGCCAAACTAGTTCTTGCCTCAGAGCCTTTTTCCCGTGCTGCTCAAACGGCCCCACATACTCTATGCCAGATCTTTGCTTGTCTGGCTCCTCATCCTTCAAGTTCAGCTAAAAGTCATCTTGTCAGGCCACCCCTGAGCACTGTATTTAAAATAGCTGACCCTGGGGCTTCCCTGGTGGCGCAGTGGTTGAGAGTTCGCCTGCCGATGCAGGGGAAACAGGTTCGTGCCCCGGTCCGGGAAGATCCCACATGTCGCGGAGTGGCTGGGCCCGTGAGCCATGGCTGCTGAGCCTGCGCGTCTGGAGCCTGTGCTCTGCAATGGGAGGGACAGGCCACAACAGTGAGAGGCCCGTGTACCGCAAAAAAAAAAAAAGACTGAGCCATAGCAGGCTGGTTAAGAGCATGGACTTCTCTCAGTTTGAGACTAGTTTGAATCCTGGCTCTACCACTTACTAGTTATATGACATTTATTAAGTTAGTTTGCCTCTTGAAACCTTAGATTCGTCACCAATAAAACAGGGTTATTGGAAGGATTAAGTGAGATAATTAAGTGAGATAATACATACCAATAAAACAGGGTTATTGGAAGGATTAAGTGAGATAAGTGGGAAAAGACTTATCCCAATCTGTGCTCCATGGTAAGCACTTAAATGGTAGATATTATTATTCAAATTCAAGTCTTTGACCCTGTGGTGACTAGAGCTTAAACTATAGCGGCCCTTGGTGCTGATCTCTTCCCACAGGAGCAGACTGCAATGTAAGTGCTTGAGGTACCTCCTTCCCAACCTGGGATATACTTTGGGCACAGGCTCCAGAGTCTGCCTCGGCTCGGATCTGTGTTCTGCCTCTTTCTAGCATTCTGACTTTGCACAACCTTACTTTTTCTGGGCCTATTTCTACATTTCCAAAATGGGGATGATAACAAAACTTTCTTTATGGCTGATACAGAGCCAGCTCCAGTGAAGTGTTGGCAGATATTATTCTTTTGCTCACTGAGTGACAGTGATTATGGTGGCTCTTCATGTAGCTCTACATCCTTGCCTCCTCCATTTTCTAATACCAAATTCCTTATTCCTATTGGGCCAACAGTCTTCCTAGTTTCTCCCTAACACACCTATCGTCTGAGGGTTTCTACCACTCTACTTTTGTACTCTTCTTGGTTTCCTGAATAGCCTCCTACTCTCTGCCACATGCCTCTCATCCACTAGAAGCTATGTTCTTGTTCACCTCTGATCTTTGCACAGGTTTTCCTTCTGCCTGCATGTTTCTTCTTCCTGTCCCCCACCTTCCCTTACCTCTCTCTGCCTAGCTAACCCCTACTCATCCATCAGAGCTCAGCTCCAGGATGCCTTTCCTGAATCCCCTCTTTGCCCATGTTAGCTAAGTATCCTTCTAGCTGCTAATAAACCTTTCTCTGTCTGCTCCCTACTCCCTCCCCAACCCTTAATCATGCACATTATATTGAGTTCCAATCATTTTTATAAGTACACTGTGTCTATTCTGCAGCTAGATCAGTGTTAAGATCACAGTAGGGCTTCAATAAATATTTGTTGAATGAATGTACAAGTGAATGAATGTAGTTCCTTAGACACACTGTAGTCTTTGCTGTCTCATGCACATGCTGTTCTACCCACCTAAAATGCTCTTCTCTCTACTTCTCACCTGGGCTGGTCTTTCATGGCCTTGAGGCCTCCTTTAGCTTTAAACGGCACCATCTCAGACAGCTGTTCTCTGACAACCATGGTTTAAAGTAGGCTCCCATCGCCCTTATTTTTTGTCTCAGCCCCTTGTTCAATTTTTTCA